TTCTGCCGGTTCATTGCTCTTTTCTTCTTCTTCACCTTGAGCTTCTTGACATGTCGGGAACAGTTGTGGTCCTCAGTTGATGTCTCAAGACCACTTTCTCCATCGAGATGTACTCTTCGTGAGGGTTGACCAACATCATCAATGTCGTTGAAGTCGTTGAATCCAACTTGAGAATGTGTCAGTAGGTCATGGATCTTCGATGCATGATGACATTCATGAGGAGTGCATTCGTAAGTTCCAAGATCAACATAAGGGATGTTGTCATGGATTGTCAAATCGATGCGTTCTCCACTCTTCGTAATCATGAAAGGCATTTGACCAGATGGCCATACGAAGGAGTATCCTTCTTCCATGCATCGTTTCCCAAGAGACATCACGGACGGAGTGTCGTCCAGTACATAGGCATGAGAGGTCACATCAAAAGTTCCCAAGTCAATCTCCGCTTCTGTCTGAGTAGCAGTTGAACCGTTGGCAGTGTGGAACATGATAGGATCACAAGTTCGCTGCTTCAAGTTCATCCTTTCGGCTTTCCTTGCAGAAATCAGATCGTGTCCGCTGCCAGAATCCAGGATGAATCTACGATCTTTGGCTTGCACTGGTAGTGAAATGCACATTATGTTCTTGGACTTCATGAGGGAATTTCTTACTTCGTGCTCAACAAGTTCTTCGATAAAGGTCAAGTCATCACGATCATTGTCCAGCTTGATCAACATGTCGAATTTGGGGCCAATAATGATTCTAACTTCATCAACAAAACGATGGAGTCCATCTCTGTCCATGATGATAGCTTTGGCCCGTGCTCGGACTGAACCGAGGATGTTGTCGGACTTGGACTGATCATCGATCAAATCATCGACTTTCCAGAAGACATATTGTTTGTTGGGGTCACGATACATACGCTTGGGTAGTCCCTCCTGGTAGTTCTCAATGGCAATCTCGTGCACTTCAGGTTCCAGTTCAAATGAGATCCTGCGATCATCAGAAGACTTCTTTGCACTGGCTATGCTCGGTGAGGTATAATCCATAGAATCTTCATTGTCGCTATCAAAGAAGGAATCAATGGTAATGGGAGTCGCTTTCTTCTTTGGTGTCTTCTTGCTGGTTCTTTCTGAAGATGCTGAAGGCGATCGATCTGCATGTAGGAATTTGCACTTGCTTCCGAACTTGCAGGTACCCTCTTGCCAATTCCAACATACCTTCTTTTTGGGTCCAGCTGAAGATGAACTTCCTCTACCTTTCCCTCTTGATGAATCTCGACTTCCGCTTCTGCCCTTCTTACCTTTCATCTTGGCATCATAGACCTTCTGAGAATGACTGTAAAGACATTTGTCACCTTTGTTGCATCCTCCTTTATTGAAGAAGTAGTTACAGAAAATCTTCTTCTTGTCAACGGGTGAAGATGATCTTCCCTTCCCACCTTTGCCTTTCTTGTTGTTCTTGTCGGCATGGGATTTCGGAGAAGGTGTAGGAAGTACTGATGCAGCTTCACTCTTCGCTTTCGCCTTGGGACGTTTGGGAGGATCACCTGTAGACGATGCAGCTGCTTCATTCTCCTTCTTGGTCTTGACGGGAGCGGCAGGCTTGTCTGCATCTTCTAAGGCAGGTGTCGTCTTGTTAGAGGACAACGACAGTTTCACTGCACGTTCTCTATCCTTCAACAGCCGTTCTTGCTTCCCTCGTGCTATGTATCCTTTGATCATACCAGTTAGGTAACCATAGGTCTTCTCATGGTGCCCTTCATCAAAGGTTTTGTATCGGTTGATATCGAAGGCCATAAGTTTTGAATGTTCAATCTTCCGGAACAATGTGTCACGCAGGGAATTGTTGGAAGGCAGATCATCATGTTTCATGTTGTATACGATGTCAAGCCATTTGTTGTAGAAGGCCTCAAGTTGGTCATCTCCATAGTAGTTGAACATATATAAATGATGGGCATTGTAGAGAACTTCAGTGTGGTCAGGTGACTTGAAGCTAATCAATATCATTGCGAATAGTTCTCGTCCCTTGATGAAGTCCCCACTTCTCCCATACAATTGGTTCTTCATGGACATGTCATACTTCACTTGCATAGACTTGTCCCCAGCATTGTCAATGACTTTTCTCAAGGCATTGGAGAGCTTGGCATCAATGGATTGGAATCTCACATCAGGAGCTTTGGCCAGCGCCTCCAAGTCAGGTTGATCTGCAAGACACGGAGCTAGCCATGCTTTCCAATCTTCATAGTTTCGATCTCCACTTGCAACACAAACTTCATGAACAACACTTCCCTTCCAGGATGAGAGTTCAGTGGTCTTAGGCCAGGGTTGGAGGCTGATCTTTTCGGCTTCTCTTAGAGATACGGATGACTTGGATCTATCCCTTTCAAGGTTCTCCAACTCCTTGACATTGGTGTTGTACTCGTTCCTGAGCTTCTCGAAGGCTTCAGCTTCTGCTCGGTATTCCTGCTCTTCATCGTTGGCGCGATCTTCAGCTTGAGAGAAATTGTTCTTGTAGTAATCTTTCCGATCTTCCATCTTCTTCAACTCATCTTGAAGATTTCGAATTTCATTGTTCTTCTCTTGCTTCATCTCGTCCAACTCTGCTTTCAGTTTAGCACACTTCTCTTCACATTCATTCCGAGGCATAGCATTACTGGGGTACCCATGTAACGTAGTCGGTCTATTCTTTGATGAAGAAGAATGAGCTTGGTTTTCCAACTTCAGGGCAGCAATAGTACTCGACATCTCTTCTACCTCAGCGAAACGCTCATTTGCCAGTTGATGCATCTCGGTCAAGTGGCTTTCAGGAATGGAATAGTCAGTCGCACCTTTGATCACGAGTCTTCTGTCGTTCAATATCTTGATGGACTTACCTGCATCCCTGTGAGCACGCTCAAGAGAATCCTTTTGGGCTTCAAGTTCAGTATGAAGGCGAGCAATAGCTGTGTCCCTGTCATTGAGTTCATTGTGCAAACTGTCGAACAAGTTACTCGTAACATTCGGATTGTTGCTCATGTGATCGATCTTGTTCAGAGCATCTTGATACTTCTTACCAGTTTCATCGAAGTTTCGCTGGAAGACTTTGAGCAGGTCCTCAGTGTCAATGAGTTCAGCTCTGTTCTGTAAGTACAACTTGTCAACCTCAGCCTTAGATTCCTTCAAGCTGTCACGTTCACGCACGGCTTGCATGTACATCTCATAGAGAGGTCCTCCATGTGGTGATCTGCTTGGTGATGATCTTCTGGCTTGTTGACAGGAAAGTTCATGATACTGATTCTTCGATTCAGTCAGTTGTTGTTGCATTCGATCCAAAAGACTTTGTTTAATGTGTAGTTCAGAACGTAGTCCCATTAACCTCATGTCCCGCATGCCGCCTGATTCAGCTAGAGATTCTTCAGATACTCTGTTCTCAGAAATCGTTAATCGAGATTGTAAGTTCTCATTGTGGATCACCTGCAATCGAAGTTGCGATTCTTCCAAAGCTAAGTGATGTTCACATTCTGCATAACGGTCATGTTCAGATCTTATGTTACTACGGAACTCCTTCATGATCTCGTCCCTCTTCATGTCAGCAGCATCGAGCTCAGTTTCCAGTCGTCTGACGTTCATGGCCATGGTGTGCTTCATCGTCTGGTTCTGATTGGCAACCTCGAGCATCTCGATCTGTAAAGCACATGTCTGGTCGTTAGCATAGCCGACCGCTAGAGCTTCCTGCTTGGCATTCATCTCTGCGTTTTCCAGTTCCAGTCTGAGTTGATTGATGTGAGCATTCGCATCAGCGCCCACATGCACCATAATTGCGTTCGCTTGTCCCATTTGTTCATCGAATTCCGAACGTAGTCGTGAATATTTGAATTCCAAATGAGATGCAGCTTCATTCGACATAGTCTGATACCTTTCCAACTCTTCGATCCTGTAGGTCGCACCTTCGTCTTCTTGTTGTGCAGCCTGTAACTCGAAGTTTAGCATCTGGAGTTGTTCGGTCATCGACATCATCTCTTGATGAGTGGTGCTCTCCAGGAAATTAAATTGTTGATAGGCATATGCTGTCGTCTCGCTCAATCTTGCCTGAAGTACAGATTCTTCTTCAGTGGCCTTTTCCAGTGACGTTTTGTATTCAGCTAGTTCACTCTGATAGGCAGTGAAGATGTCGCTACCACTTGACGGGGCGTTCACTTGTTGATAAGATCCTGTCCCTGATGGAGTAGCGTCCTGAATCGGTGAAGGCGGATTCGACGACGTAGTCTTTGCCTTAGTCCTTGGAGTCATCGGAGGCGACAATTGTCGTGCAGATGATCTTCTCTTTCCAGGGGTGCTGTCCCTATCTTCAATTGCTTGCATTGTCGAAATTTGTCTCCCTCTAGGAGCAACCAGATGTCGCCTGGGTTGGCTTGTTCTCAATTCTGAGGCATCGCTTCCACCAGTGTCGATACTCTGTGAAGAATTTGACTGCGTGCCGGCAGCTGGTGCAACGGCATGTCCAGAGAAAGAAAATGCATTATCGCTGCTATCCTGTTCAGTCATCTGTAAGGCCCGCGGCTACCCGCTCGTAGGCTCCGTAGGAGTCCTACGGCTGATAACCTGTGAATCGGAGGTTGTCACTCCGACTATGTATTGATGTTGGTTCTTGAAGGAGTCGTCTTCAATGGCGATGACAAGTGAATAGCGGCTTCCGCATGGCTTTGCTCTTTTCCGGTACTGCAGTGGGTCTTGAGCCAAAGGGGCGATTTGATGTACCCCCTTGGCAATGGATCCTAGAGTGTCGAATTATATGTGGATATACAATCGTACGTAGCCTACACTCTATTCGCAATATATATATATAATATAATATATATATATACTGTATATATATAATTATATTATATATATACAGTGTATATATATATATTATATTATATATATATTATATATATATTATATATTATATATATATATTATATATATATTATATATATATTATATATATATTATATATTATATATATATATTATATTATATATTATATATATATATATTATATTATATATATATATATATTCCACATATTCTCCGGCAGTGCCCCCAACCAGTTTTCCCACTACTCGGTGCCGAACTGAGGATGTCGTGGATGGTGCGGATGACCATGGAGGAGGAGTCACGGGGCCAGATGCGAATGGTGGGAAACATTGTTTGCAAAATCTGCAAAGCCACTGGTTCCGTCCACCTCTCTGCAAGGGGGAATGGGATGGAATGGGATGGGAATGGGGGTAGCTACTGGGATCCAAGCACTGATCCATGGTCAAATGATGTCAGATGTTTGTGCTGGCCGCTGGCCATGTGTGTGGCGCAACTATGGAACCTTTTCGCCAGAGAATCTCGTGTTGGTGCAAAGGAGACCGAAATGCATGCCACGTCACATACGAAGGTTCTCGGCGTAGTCGGCAATGCGACTGATATCTGTGCCGCTAACACTGACAACTGAAAGACTTTTGCATTGACCCTCCTGGCAGGATCGACATGTCAAGGGGTCCAGATTGGCAGATTGCTGCTGATGTCAAGTCAGAAAACAACATCGGTTTCATCAAGTTGTCAGACACTAAAACGAGAGGTTATCCAAGTTCCCACATTTTCCCAATTACAGAGGAGATAGACCACGTTTTCAGGCAGACCCACCACATCCAACTGTGGAAACATGTGGAAAACCGTGGAACCGGTCTCCTGCCATCCCGTCCAAAGCCCTTCACTGTGACAGCGCTTCACCTCGAACTCCAACCAACGCCTCCGCGCAGCGCGGGTGCTGGCTGTCCGCTGTCCGATTTCCAAAGATCAACGGATTCTGCCTGTGCTCATGGAGGTTTTAATGGGAAAACCATAGGAAAACCATAGGAAAACCATAGGAAAATGGAGGTTTACCCTCTGGTTATGTCAAAATAGCTATTGAAAATGACCATTGAAATAGTGGATTTTCCCATTAAAAATGGTGATTTTCCATAGTTATGTTAGTTTACCAGAGGGTAGGTTAAAGATGTTTAAACACTGCTGATCAATGCTGTAGCATCAAATGGTCTTGCCATTTCCTTGCTTAGCATTGCACCAAAAACATCCAAAAACAACTTGTGAGGACCTTTTTGTTCACTTTGGGGACACTTGGCATGCCACCCCGAACATCCACCACACAGCCTTTATCCAACACCATGCCTGTGTTGCTGGGAAGGCAAGTGTCGAATGGACACCTCTAAATGGGGGAACAGTTTCTTCAGCAAGCCCGGCACGTCGTTCTTCTCGTTGGGAGTGATGTAAGCCCTTGGGGCAACAAAGGTGTCTGTTCAGAGAATTTTCTGGATCAATTGCAACCAATATCTGATGTCGTTGGCGGCTAATTCCATGGCAAGTTAGCGTTTCTGACTCCAACTTCAAATCACCTGCGTATCGGTCAAAAATATATCAAAATGTAGGGCTTCAATTTCAACACCACTGGGTTTTGATATATTTCAATCATCATACTCTTGGGCTCTCTTGGGTAACAAGTTAGTAACAAGTTGTAACACATACGCACCTAGCCCTGTCTACACAATAATTATACAATCTTTCACCACTCAAGCCAGTCGGGTTTATCTGGAAATTGGGTATCCCATTCGATCCCATGGTTCAGAAAAAACATCTTCCCATCATGAAATTGCCATCTAATGGAGGTAATCACTAAATATCAAAAAAACAATCGATTGCTCCAGGGCGCAGTAGTGACAGCAGAGCATAGTCCACCAACTGCAAGCTATGCCAGGTATGACCGCACACGGCATAGTGCCCTGTGGTGTTCCGCTCCAGTACGTGGGTGAACACATCTGGCGGAACCGTGGCGAAAATTTCAATGTTCAACTGAGTCAAGATTGGCGAAACGGTCGATTTTTTTGGGGATTATTCAGCGAAACGGCCAAAACAAGTAGCTCTTGTGGGGTTGAGTTTGAAAGTTTGACGCGCAACCAGGTTGTCCGCAAAGTTGGTTCCGTGACGCCATCGTACGAGTACCTCTGATAGTCTTCCTTCCATCATACATTTGCGACTAAGTGGTTCGCAGCAAACTCAAGCATGGTTCCTATGCACAAGAAGTTCAGATCGGAACTTTGGAAAAAATCTGAGATTCTGCTTTTCACCAAGAAAATCCCTAAGCCAACCTCCATTACAAATGACATATGGATCAACTAACTATATCTTAATTTCCCAGCTTCATCCATCTTCCCATCCATCTAAGCTGCCTGTGTCATCTCCAGCAGTGGCTCCCCTCCTTGCCAAGCTCATGACCTGGAAGATCTATCGACATCCAACAACCATCTTGGGTTGATTCGGAACATGATTTTCTACATCATGGGATGGAATCAGGTAGCTTTTGTTCAGAAGACTTTTATATGTATGTATGTATGTATATATATATGTATGTGTGTGTGTGTGATATATATATATATATTATATAGAACAAGAAACTTCTCAGAGAACTGTTCAACTGGAACTAGAACATGGAAGTTTTGGTGACCTTTCAGCAACTTTTTGCCCCTTTGATCTAGAAACATGTGTTGGGAAAAAATGAACCCAATCTTTACTGTCAAGCCATCCCATTTGGGGGAGGTACCCTTTTTTTGAGTTGTTCTCAAAAATTGATTCCCCCAGTAAACAAGTCGTTTTAAGATATAGAAATCATGTTTGGAGAAACTCAACTATCATGTCAAGTTGGTTGTGTATGTGTATATATATATGCATCCGTTATATCAATTATCTCCCTGTGATTTGCCAGTGTGTGTTGGCATGTGTTGGCTAAACTCCATTAAACTCTGGGGGTTGATGGGAGTTGATAGGGCTGCAGCTGCAGCCTGACCTGGGCATACCTGGGCTAAGGCCACCACTGATGCGCCTGCATTGGTCACTTGGATGGTCTTCTCATCGGGTTCCTTCAAGAAATATGGCAGTGTGTCAAAACCTTGTACCCCTGGTGAACATCAAAATAGCTGGTAAATGGATGTTCATCCCACTAAAAATGGTATTAATAGGTATTGATCCATAGCCATATGGAGATTTCACCAACAAACATTGGGCTATGCATTGGATATTTGGAACAATGGTACCTTGTATTAGAGGTTAATGGTACCATTTATCCAATTAACAGAAACGGTATATAAAGAAGGAGATGGGCTGTTCATTGGATACCCTCTTATTTTGACATAGCCATGGAACTTACCAACTTCTAGATGATTTACGGATTTACCTATGAAACAGGACCACTTACCATTGCTATGTCAGATTATTCAGATGGTAGCCGGGTAGCCTGCCACAAGTTCCACTGGTTTTCGGCCAGAAAAAATGTGGTTCCCTTCCAGTCTCCCCCGATGGTGTGCCTGCCACCAAACCAGATCCTCCAAGAAGAGTCCACTACGCTGTTGAAGACCAGCCAACAGGACACAGCTGGTCCTAGGGGAACCCAATTGATGGAAAATCGGGACCCTTTGATTTCATTTACAGCAGCATTGGAGAACAACAACAAAGTCACAGCTGATGAAACTCTGAGACGTTCCACCAACAGGGTCTGCATTGATTGATGGAAATGGAGACCGTTTGCTTCCGAGATTCAAAATCACTAAAAAGGTGCCGCAAATGAGTAGCAGCACCCTGGCAGCTATTCTTCCCAACCTGTCCGCATGGTCAAAGTTTGGCAGCAAAACCACACAGAATCTGTTCCCATAGCCAAGTTGAAATGGCCTCTTGGAGGGCAATTGGCTATTTGCAACTTGGAACAGGTGCCTTCGCTCAACTGTGTAGGTCGTCTTCAGCACTTTGTGGCTATCCTCAAGGCAAATATATCATCCATATATTCAAATATATTCAAATATATCCGAGAATAGCCATGCAGCAAGGTGGGCTGAAGAATCCTCCTGACATTCCATGACACCAAGCTGCAGGATTCACAGCGAACTTAATCTCGATGGGAGGAGTGGATTCCTCACCTCGGACTCGGCGCTTCAGAAAGATCCCTACTGGCCCTACTTCGGTCCGACGCTGAAGCAAAGGGGAAAGAAGGAAGAGCAGGAAAGAACATGGGAAAGAAGTCCAGAGAAAGGAAAGAAGAGATTCTTAAATGATCTTAAATGAACCTTCAGAGATTATGTTTAATAGTCCTTGTCCTCATTAGAAGCAAGCATACGGAGCCAACGCCGTGATGTGGGCATAGTTTGAAACGGAACATGATGGGCTGGAACAGATCGAAACTCCATGATCAAGGGAAAAATCCTGCAACTTGAGCTTGTCCAAAAATGTGGTACAGCACCCGTTCAAATCCAATTCTTCAGCATTTTCCCAATTAAGACTTCCATAGACTTCCATAATTAACTTGGCTTTTTCGTACACTTTCACTGACATGTTGCCCGAAAATAGGGTGCCTCCAAAGTTGCTGATTCATAATGATCTTCCCAGTTCCCAAGTTCAATGGCCCCATCGTCGAGTGCGAGGCACTGGGGCCCGAGACAGAGCTCTTAAACCAAAGCCCCACATAGCGTGCCATGCGGAACCCCGCGCGCAGCAGGTGTAGCCAGACCAGAAAGGTGAGCAGCACATGCTGATCTGGCAACTGTCAAGTGAGGAACTGACGGGTCAAAAAAACTCGACTGGAGAATTACATGTGGAGGGTTTGATTGGGCAAAGCTTGAATCTCCATCACAACCTATGAAATCTAACTGAAAACTCCAGAACTTCCATTCATCTACAGCATCAACCCTGTTCTTTGAGATCTCTCAACTTGTACCAGACCAGCATCGCGTCAACGTGCAGTCCATGTTCAGTCAAAAGATCACCCCTCTCCGGATTCATCAATTCAAACTACCATGGTATACCTCGTTTTCGGGCACCATGGTAGGAGGGTCAAATTGTTTGTTTTATGTCCATCATATCGCTAGAAAATAGCAGTACAATATCGTACCAATCATCAACCAACCATCATGTATCAATCAATATACCCACATTCAAATTCTTAATTATATGATATTATATGATCATCATTTATCAATCATCTCCGAACATGCTCCGGCTGGCTCCCAGTTTCAACAACCCTCGCCCTTTTAAAGGTGCCTCGTCCCACCCAGCTGCACAGCAGCTTCGACAGCAGAAAGATGCCCGGCAGAGCAATGGCAGCTCCCAACCAGGGTAGGACACCCTGAAAGATCCCTGACCTGGAAAAACGTGGGATGTCATCCATAGAAATCCACCGGAGAAGGGCAACCTAAAATAGTAAAAAAGCAGCCTAAATATGGATGATAAATAATAGTAACTCAGTACTCCATTTTTTAAAATTCCCAAAAAGATGGAAAAGGTAAAATCCTGCACATGATAGTGGTAAACTTAATCTGTTCGTAGCGTTTCGACCTTTTTGTGGGATTACACTAGCTTAGAGTAACTACTACAATATCAATATCATCTCCATTGAAAGATGATATCCCCATTTGACATGGCAAACTGTCCAAAAAATAGTGGATATTGGGATACCCCCAAAATCTCGTGATTCAAAAATGCTTAGAGATATAATGGTCAAAAATTTTTACAAACTACACCCCATTTGCGGAAAAAAACATGTGCTTGAGCGCGGATGATCAGAAGGCCAACCCGCTTCCCATTTGGGGACTTGCTTACATGGCCATTCAACGTCCCTAGCCGCTCTAGCCCTAGATTTCACCGGATTTGTTCCTTACACCGGACACAATGCCACCATGCCACAGGGAGACAGCAATGAAGGTGGCCTGTGGCTCCCCGGAGCAGAACACAAGCTATGCAAATGAGCCTTCAAACGTACAGAGATCTTACTATGCGCAGCCCAAATTATCGGAACGGAACCAAATTAGCAGTCATGCGTGTCACTTTAGGGTATAGCTGAGAATTCAACCCTTAAGGTTGCAACTTAAGACCTGGGATCCCCTACAAAAACGGTCAAAAACATACGAACAAATCATGCCGGCAATTGTTCTCCCGACTCCGTCTTAGTCCATCGATCAAGTCAGGAGACTTGCTAGGAAGGTTTCAACTTTGCGCCCCGAAGGCCCCAAGTTTGACCGAGAAGCTGTCCAAACGAAGCAAAGTAACATGGGATAGACAAAGCTGATGGTGATCAAGTCCTGAGGCGTGGCATTCCATCTTTGCCAAAAAAAACATGTGTGAAGTCTCCAAGGTCCTAAGCCTAACTATTTGAACATATTTGAACATGTACACTGTCACTAGTCACTACAGTGGGATGACCCCTGTGTGCCGCTGCCCCTCGATCCAAGGGACTGTTTGGGCAGAGGCGAAGCCATGCGCCACACAGCCGCGCAGAAAATGAACCTGTAGCCACACGTGTTTTGAAACGCCACTGGAGATGGCAAAATGTCAGTGTTCATCACAGGTCTTCTATGATGCCTCATAAACTCCACAGAAAAAGCTTCAGCAATGATTGACATTGACAGTACAGAAGTGACCAAAGTGATTCAGGCATGTACAGTAAAGAAATTAATTTATAATATATTATAATTACTATTCTCCTCGCGAGCAGCATCACCATCGTTGCTACCATCACCATCACCATGATATGGCTATGGATCAAAATCCTGTTACCATGAATAGCCGGTAAACAAATGGTAATCCCTTCCTTCTGCCGAAAAAAGAAATGATGGCTTTTCACCCATACGCCGCATATTATAGCATCATCAAATGAAAAGGAGATTTCGGAGATTTCATGAAACCCCTCAGCTGCGGCACAGCCATCCAAAAGAAGAGCGTGTATTTGAAGAGACTGGTGAGGTTCCGCCATCGCGAATCCAGGCCTCGGAGACTCCCGGATCCCGCTGGTGATCCCCGTCCCCCACAAACAGCACTTCGGATTGATGTTTCAACAGCTCCAAAATGGCGACTTTAACAACCTCTCTCACTAGTTGCCCTTAGCACAAGACTGACACAAAACCAAAGTCAAGTCTTCGCACATTCGACTCAAGTATTGTCCCATCCTTCGATCTCAAATTGCAGTCGGAGGATGCTTGTTGCAGCCAAATATGCCAAACATATGCAAGTCCAACATGCCGGTCTGTCTGTCTGAATAGGGCATCCCCAAATCACGTTGTTTATCATCATGTTACCCCTAAAATCGCTATCTTATGGGTATCCAAATTATTTTCAGACAAACCCAAATCATGTCAAGTTGAGAATCCTGTGCAATATCCCATGACATCCCTACTTTGGTTGGTTTAGCCCCATTAAAACACATTTTTTCTTATATATACCATGAATAAACCACCATGTTGAATGGTGACACCAACGTTTTTTATGCTTAAATCGCCATTCTCGATGGCTAAACATGGTTGTCCTGGTTAAACCTGGTTAAACTCCATCACAGCCATGTCGAACGTTCCCGCTGCGACGTGCCACTGACGCTGCGCAGGGTGAAGCCCGACAGCCCTAGCAGCTGCGGGCGCTGCACCGCCTGGAAAAACACCCACGGGCCCATAAATTCATGGTTACTGTAGATGTTAATAGTGGCGAATGATGGTTGATAAGTGGTTGGTTGAGAATGGCTGATAATGGTTGATAATAATGGCGAATGGTGGTTAGTGGTTGATAATGGTTGAGAATGAGGAAGTTTAGCAAGATGTTGCAAGATGATGCAAAATGATGCAAGATGATGAATATGGATCCAGGAAAATTAACCAAACTGACCAACAAATAAGTGGCTACAATTGGCAGCACCGCTGGACAAGTAAGCGAACAACTCGCCTGGCGTCCACCAAAGCTTCTCAACATCCAGTAGTTCTTGTCTATCTTTCTGGATGTTACAAATTAGTTATAGTATTGATAATTGGTGTTGACTGGCATATATGTATATATAGTTCCATTTACATCCATGTACACTACCCATTGTATTCAAGCTAAATATCATTATCATTATGATAATGCTAATATATTCTCATATGGTTCTTTTATACACTACCCATTAAGATCCACATTATCCATGCAATATGGAAGTTAAAGCCATGGCTTCATCCAGGCCACGGTCACAGCTAACAAAGACCACCAACTCCAAGCAGTCACCAGAGCGGTGTCTGCCACGTGGTGCGGCAGACCTGCGAGGTGGACGTCAATGGTTTCCCCTGGGATGATGACAATGTATATAAAATATGTGTACAAAGTATGTGTATAGATATATATATATATATCACATAATTCATCTATGTATAGATAAATGTATGCGCATTTGTTTAACCTGCAACAATTGCGAACCATATACCAACTGTTACAATCCATTTGCACAAACGGCCATGGTAAAAGGGACCGTGGATTGGTGGATTCTATATACTGCAAGAGGCGGCCATCTGGCAGTGTGATACCCAGTCCTGACAACCTCAACGGCCGCTGGTGTGCTCCGTCCCCAATACCTAAACCCACCTTTCCTCAAGAATCGTTACCAAATCTTCATCTTCGAAGATTCGAAACCCTCTACCAATTCTCCCCAAAAAAAAAGGTGCCTCAAAATGTCCATGGCTTTTCCATGTAATCTTCATCATTTTTGGCCCTGCGGGCCGGACATCCAGGGCCTCCCAAAGTTCTGCGCACCACCCCACTGCCCGCCGGCTGCAGCAGCCAACTGAAGAGCCGCCAGGTGGAGATGGGCATCAGAAGACACAGCAAAGTCATCGAGACCATGCCTCAGTTCTCGGATCTTCTGGGTCGCAGCATGGCTTTTTCACAAATACTGAGACTAACTGTACAGTATCCATCAGTATCCTACTTAACTATAGTTATAAGTTATAAATTATAAGTCAATATAAATCACTAGTTTATCTTTTTGGGGGTTACCCACGGTCCCCCAAAAAAATCTTCAAACCTACTGGGGGATTCCGAATCAGATTCCCTTTTTGTTTCTTCGCAACCTCCAATGGGTACCCCGCACCAAGTCGCGAGGCACAACGCCTTTGCCTTGGGCAATGGCATGGGCGAAATTGGTGAAGAGTCCGGTGAAGGCCTGGCGGTCGAAGTGTTGATGCGACCGGTGGTTTGTGCTTGGTATGGTTCTATATTTTCCTGAGGTCTATGTTAGAAAAAATATGGAAAGGTACTAACTTTTGGGGGTTCCAGAATTTGATGTTTTTTTTCATGTTTTCTCCAAACTCCCGCTTCCAGGATTAAGAAGGGGGTGGAGGCGCTGGAAAAAGAAACTGGATAGTGGGGAAGGGGATGATTCTCAGAGCCGACTGCAGCAGGTCTCTAGATGTTGTGGCGGAACTTCCAAACCAGAAATGCTGGGAGCGATGTGAAAAATAATGATAGGTCGGCCAACAGTTAAAACCTGCTCGTGGATAATGAATTTCAACATACCTCCAGTAAATTCAAGACACAAACCTCCATGAGTCAATGGAAACCTCCCCATTTGTAGATCCCCAGCTGTACAAAACCGGATGTTTTGAACCATGGCTGCCATGGCTCACCTGAAACCATTGGATCAGCGCCACGAAGAGCACAAAGCGCACAGTTCTGTTCAGGTGACCCTTGGTTCAAATTTGGATCACCCCAGTGGGCTTCGGAAAAACAAGAAAAAAAGGGCCACACCTCGGACCAGCAACCATCAAGCATCGAGTTGTGAAGCGCAGCAGGTCAGCGCTATATTTGGAAAACGATTTTTGTTGTCCTTTGAAATGTCTGTTGTATTCTGTTGTATTGTGTGTTGAAACGGGGCGGTTGTGAAAATCTCACACTTGTATTTTGAAACAGGGCGGTTGCGTTGCGCAAGTGATATTAAAGGTTGAAGTTGGATTGTGAAACCAACGGCTGTTAATGTTAATGGATACTTCTCTCTTACACATGAAGTCTATTGTAAACACTAGGAGCGTCATGTTATTGCTCCATGGGGGGCGGAAGATTTTATCGCTCATGTAACTCCGAACGCTCCGAATAGCCGTACTGTATTGTTCCATGGGGGAGTTGTAAACCCTAGTAGCGGTAGTGTTCCATGGGAACAGAAGCCGTTGCATCCCAGAAGCCGTCGGCTGAAAGATGGGCAACGCATCGGTACAAATGCCTGGCAGGATTTCAGGGCCCCTCCATGATGAAACCAGGCACAAAAAGTATGGACATATCACATGACATCACATCACCATATCTCTCAATGTATAACCACATTAAATCATATGTAGCTACATGTAGCTACTTGTAGCCATATTAATTTTGTATATATAATTGTATATATATATACGGGAGGGGCCTGAGGTTCTCCGATGGCGTCATGTGTCTTTCATGGTGAACATGTGAAAATTGCGCTCTCGCCTAGGTAATTTGCAAGTTTTTCAGAATATGGTTTCTGCTATTCATCATCATCTTGAACGGATCAAATTTTTTTCGTCCGTTTAACATGACATGGATGCTGTCACACTTTTCATTTGCTCAGAAGTGAAAATTTGCATTTATTGGTGCAAAATTGCGAATTTTCATCGTTGATACATCTCTTCTGGATGAAAAAGTGTTCAAAAGTGCTGGGTTTTTACAGTGATTTTGCTTGCGGTCCATTTTGTACTGTTATTCGCAATGAATTTGCATGGTCGCACAAATCAGGAGGTCTGACAGTCAGGTATTTTTTGTGTTTCGATTAAGGTTCTCCGATGGCGTCATGTGTCTTTCATGGTGAGCATGTGAAAATTGCGCTCTCGCCTAGGTAATTTGCAAGTTTTTCAGGATATAGTTTCTGCTATTCATCATCATCTTGAACGGATCAATTTTTTTTCGTCCGTTTAACATGACATGGATGCTGTCAGACTTTTCATTTGCTCAGAAGCGTAAAAGGACAACTGGCTCTGCAAGTGTAAAGAACTAAATAAATAAATAAATAAATATATATATATGTATGTATATATATATATATATCTGTGAGTGTGTGTGTGGTGTGGGGGATATAACCACTATGAAATTGAGTTCTAAGGTGAGAGGACTATCCTTGGTGACAGTTATGCGGCCCTGTGGTCAGTTTTTTTTTTCATTTCTCCCACGGTGCTTCGAGGAATGCACGGCTTGGTGCGACCAGTCCTTGAGACACGGTCGTGCGGAACCGTGCTAAGGCAGAGAGCACGGCTTCAAGACCCGGGTTTTTATTTAAATAGTGAACAGCTAACGTATTTCTGTGTTCAATCCTATGCTGACAACGTAGTATCAAGGACGTGGTCGTCAGGACGTTGATATCCCCACCCCACCCCACCCCAACGAAGTGTCAACGTAGTGACATGTTGCATCCTCAAGCGAGCATATATGCTGACAACGTAGTATCAGGGACGTGGTCGTCAGGACGTTGATATCCCCACGTGGTCGTCAGGACGTTGATATCCCCACCCCACCCCACCCCAACGAAGTGTCAACGTAGTGACATGTTGCATCCTCAAGCGAGCATATATGCTGACAACGTAGTATCAAGGACATGGTCGTCAGGACGTTGATATCCCCACCCCACCCCAACGAAGTGTCAACGTAGTGACATGTTGATCCTCAAGCGAGCATATATCGGACAAAGTAGTATCAAGGGACGTGGTCGTCAGGACGTTGATATCCCCACCCCACCCCACCCCACCCCAACGAAGTGTCAACGTAGTGACATGTTGCATCCTCAAGCGAGCATATATGCTGACAACGTAGTATCAGGGACGTGGTCGTCAGGACGTTGATATCCCCACCCCACCCCACCCCAACGAAGTGTCAACGTAGTGACATGTTGCATCCTCAAGCGAGCATATATGCTGACAACGTAGTATCAAGGACGTGGTCGTCAGGACGTTGATATCCCCACCCCACCCCACCCCAACGAAGTGTCAACGTAGTGACATGTTGCATCCTCAAGCGAGCATATATGCTGACAACGTAGTATCAGGGAGGTGGTCGTCAGGACGTTGATATCACCCCACCCCACCCCACCCCACCCCACCCCACCCCACCCCACCTGTCTCCATCGGAGAACCCCAGGCCCCTCGGGTATATATATATATATATACGTACATATAGTTGAATTCTCATATTGTTGTGTATATACCTGCCTGCAGAGCTCTTGTTTCTTCGCTACCATGTATGTCGCATGTGCAGTGTGGCATTTGCAAAATTTCATTCATATTGATTTGTCTTTTTGCTGCTTTTGTCAATCAGGTTGTTTGCAGGGGCTCGGGGAAAGGGAGCTGCAGTGGGTCATGTGGTGCGTGATTACGTTCTTGTGGGGTTGTTTTGGTTCACGCGTTAGGTGTTTGCACAGCGTGCATGTCATTTTGCGTTGTTTTGTTTGTCGTCCCCGCATGTCCCCTATGTATGTATATATATATATGTGTGTGTATGTATGTATATACATATTTATTCATGTATTTACAGTATTTATTTATTCAAATTTTATGCGTTGAATAAATACACTAAATATAGATACATCATAGATATACATAAATATAGAGACATATACATCTAATAATATATTCTATAGCCATTGTATCAGCTTCCCAGGCCTGAGGCTCCATCCCTGCCATCACCTCGGACCAGGGGATTTGTTATTCAGTGACTTTAAAATCAACCTTCAATGGATGGGATCAGAAGGGATCATGTACAGTATGTCTTATAATATTTATATTTATCTATTTGTTTATCTGTTTATTTACATATATATATATATACATAATTGTGTACATATTCGTATACATATGTATATATATATATACAATATATATATATATGATACATATATATATTATATATATATGTATGATCATATATGGGACTTTAATTGCTTTTGGGACATGGAAGTCTCCAAATATGGAGGAATCACGTAGATTCACTTGATCCTCTATTGATCTTGATACACATCAAATATATAGGAAATCAAAGATTAAAGTAAATTGAACAATTGTGCATCATTCAGCCTTCAAGCATTTTGATGGCTGAATGATTTAGCTCACAAAAAAGGAGATAGTTCATGATGCCGGGATGATCTAGTACCTAAGAGACAACCTTTGCGGGGATGGACATCTAGCTATCATCCCATACATCCTATCATCTGATAATGTTCAAAGCTCCTGGTGAAAATCGACCCTTGGCAAATATGGCAAATCACAATTTTTGTCAGAAAATCGGATACCCCAAAATCTGGTTTATCATCATGTCCCCATGCGTTCCCATATTCTCCACCATTGAAATGGCATAATTTCTGGCATGTTTTGCAGCCTCGTTGCAGTAGCTTTGCCCCAGCAGAAGCGTCAAATGCCCCAGCGCCAGGACCACCAAAGGCGCAATCAGTACGATGCGCCGGCGCGCCTGCAGCGAATGCCCAGTTGGCTGTGGGAAATGGATGGAAATGGCCCATTTATAGATGATTTATCCTAAGAAATGATAATTTTTCCAGAGCCAAGTTAGTTTACCAGAGGGTATCAACAAAACAACTGGTGCCATTGTGAAATTTGAGTCATGCCTTTGCGACACTATTTGAAACTCATCGTAGATTTATCTTTCGCACCATTTCTCTGGCAGGCCCGGAAATGCAGACACTGAGCACAGTGCCAGGCTTGGAACAAATGCTGATGAATTTCACTTGTTGGGAGTGCAGCAAGTGCAAAGTCAGTCGCAGTGCAGACTTGAGACTCTCCCGACACAAAATCAACCTGGAGTATGCTGGGAATGGCACTTTTCTTCGGGCTTGTGTCGCGGGGTCGTTCAGGGCCTCTTTAGTTCCTTAGCACGGCGAACGCACCCCGGTGCCCATCCTGGGACCTCAAAGTCTTCACCCAACAGGTCCCCCAGTTGGCCAGTTGAAAGGATCAGAACCCAGTCAGAACCTGGTAGGGGCCCCTGATTGTGGTTTTTTCATTGATTTAATGAGATTTAATGGATTTTATATGTACCAGTGAAATGGGGTCATAACAACAAGTTCAGTAAAACGAGCTTAGTGCCACTGAAATGCTTAAATGCCAGTATAATGTCAGCATAACCCATTTCGTTTCGTTTAAAAATAGAGTAGTCCAGATCAACTTTATGACTGTCAAATCATCATCAATTGGGGGGTATGCCCCATTTCCACACAACCCCATGCAGACATCCTTGGGTTTGACACATCCTCATTATCAAAGTCCGCATTGCTGCTAGTTAAGCGCCAATTTTGCTGACTAAACCCACATGTTTGCTGGTTCAATCCACATGTTTGCCTCTTAAATCCCCAATTTTGATGCTTAAGTCCCCTATCGTCCATGGTTAAACCACCGTTTTTCATGGTTCAACCACCATTTTTCATGGTTAATTCTCAGTTTGATCAAATTTTGCCGAATAGACCCTGTTTCAGATTCGGTTGAGCATCCCTTCCCACGTGGCGATGGCGACGGTCGCTTGTCGCCCCGAGGCGATGCCCGAGAGCCCTGCGAGATGGCGATGTATCTAATACGATCTATATCTCAAATGTAATCTGACTTGATATAGATAGTATAGATATATGCTTCAGATATATATTAGTATAATATATATATATATTATATATATATGTATAATATATATATATAGATATATATATGTATATAGATATATATATATATATCTATCTATCTATAAATCAGCATCGCAGCTCTGAATCGGTCGAATCTTTAGATCTTCACGGGACCTCGTGGATGCGAGTGGCACCCAGCAGCATCCGACGCAGGGTTGGGAAGTCGTGGTACAACTCCCAGGCCACCGTCCACATGGAACCTGGGACAGCACCGTCGTGGAACGTGGGCGGTAAAATGTATGTATTCATAAATAAAATGTGTATATCTTATATATATATATATCACCAGTTTTTTCACGCCTCTTTTCTAAGTTGCCCTCCAGTGGCCATTGCCACAGCACTGGCCCAATTTTGGCCTTAAGCAGCTTCGATCACAACACCTGGTTCTCTCCGGAGAAATAGTGATTTGCAAAAGAAGAAGCTCTTTCCAGGGTGGGCGGCATGTGGGCCCGAAAGATGCTTGAGGACAAAGACGCTTCCATGCACATGTGATAGTTCCATCACCAATTTTTTCACGCCTCTTTTCTAAGTTGCCCTCCAGTGGCCATTGCCACAGCACTGGCCCAATTTTGGCCTTAAGCAGCTTCGATCACAACACCTGGTTCTCTCCGGAGAAATAGTGATTTGCAAAAGAAGAAGCTCTTTCCACCCTTTTCATTCTGCTTGCACATTTCAAACACTAGCCACGATCACATCAATGTTAGCACTCAGTTCAGTAATTCGGTACTTTGCAGACACTGGAAGCTGATGCAAAAAGAGCTGGGCTCCAACCTCCTGGATGTAGTACTCCAGAGTTCTCAACTTTGACCAACGACCCTTCCAAGCAATTTTACTCAAATCCATGTCAGACAGGTACAAATGCGTGGCACCAGAGCCCCGCAGGGTCCCAGGGGTAGCACCACGCAAAGCTTGGCGTCGAGGCACTTCTAAAAGATCCAGGACAGAATTCCATTGCCGCCGGAACACTGCCATGGAGGCATCAAACAATCGACTTTGCATCTGCAGGTGTCCAAATACTCGCTGAACCAAACTAATGACAGTGATATCGTCAATACGCACGTGTTGGCGCCGAGCAAACCGAGCAGTTTTTGGGTTTCGAATATGAACATACATGCATTCACGAAGCTCTAAAGTATCTTGGGGAAACACAAGATCACTACGGACTAAATGGACAAACTCATTTGGGTGAAGCATCCCGGCAAAACCTAAAGCAACTATGCTAGCAAAGGAGCGCCATTCCCAGAGCAATGCAACAGCGATGATGGCTCTGACAAGGGGCGCAGAAAGTACAGCGCGGCATTGGCCAGGTTCTTCCAGCTGCCACTTTCGATCAATCTGCCAAGCTCCATGTAGCAAATTCCTATAACCAGGATACTGGTGCACCACGCCAGTAATCGCATAGACCAACCAGTAGCGAGGTCTACCCTCAGAAAAACAGAAACGACCATAGCCACGCAGAGCAAGATCGGCCATCTCCGCGGTGGCCATTGCCTCATTCAAAGTCAACCCCAGTTTGTCCTTCGTCCAGGCTTCGAAAGCCTCCAGGCAGCGTGACATCCGCTGCACAGTCGCCTGTGAAAACCCGACAGACATGTTCAGCTCACCCCTGGGAAAATATGCACCTTGTGGAAGGTTAGGACCAGGGTTCCGCTCAATGTCACCCGCTAAAAGGAGTAATAAACGCACCCAACGCCCCAGAGGTCTCCGCCAAAAACTGCTTGAAACCATAATGTCAAAACGCCTTGCATCTCCTTGCTGCAGCTCCTGCAACCAGAGAGGAAATCTACGGGTCTGTTGCTCCACTGCTCTATCTCGTGAAGGAGCATCGGCTTTGTTCCAAGGAGACCGGCAGTGAATGCAGCCAGGGTACAGACAGCCGCCCAGCACATACCCCAAAGAAGTCCGCAAAATGCGGCTCAGCGCCTTGGAACTGGAGCGGCCCTTAGCCGCAGCCCCCATAGTTACCCGGCTATCCAGCAAGCCCACCACACGTGAGCGGGGATGCCGTTTTGCACAATGTTTCAGCCATGACTTGTAAACCCGGCACTCCAGCGTATTGATGTGGCCAGACCTTTTGAACTTGTACCGGAACAGCTCCCGGTATTGCACACCCTCGCATAATTCCTGCACCCAGTCTGGGTCATCATGCCAACTGCGCACATCAGTGCTCCCTGCCATGTTTTCTGCTGGCGCCCTGTCAGGCCAGAGTCCTTCGTGAGCCAGTTTGCTGCCAGCTGCCATCCTATCACACAAAGGAATGGGATAGGACGCAGAGAACCGACTAACTGCTTCGCCAACTTCTGGCATGCGCCCATACACTTCCTCAGCACCAGGCACACACCGCCTGTCAAACTCACGCACTGAAGCTCGAGTGAAAGAGCCTTGGACCACAAAGTGCTTTGCCCTGAACTGGCAGTTGCATTGACCTGCAAGCTCATCCAGCCAGGGCTTGTTGTGCAACCATTTTGATGGCTTCATAAATCCACTTCCCCAGCTGCAAAAACAAAACTTTGTCACCCTACAGCCCATAGACAGCAACACCTGATAAATGTGCAGGTAAAACATCACGGAAGAGCCCGGCTGCTCCACTGAAATGAAACATCCACTGCGCACTGCCAAAATCAAAATGAAAGCAGTCCGCACTGCCAACAGCGTCTGCTCACGGGTAAGGAAATCAGCCATATCATACCCAGCAGGACAAAGCTTGCTGCGGAGCCGAGGGCGCCGCAGCGTTCCAAAACTCCAACAAGGAGGAGCAGCATGCCATTCCTTCACAACGCCTGCATCGGCCATTCCTGCTAGTTCCCTAAAGGTAGCATCATCGGCCAAGTCACCATATGCTATGGTCACAGCAGACCGCTCAAAACCAGGGTGCACCCTCAACCCCACTCTGGAGTGGGCAGCACTCCAGTTTCCTTGACCAGAAAAAAGCTCAATGCAGTCAAATTCATAACTGCCAGACAGAGGCTCGCAAGCCTGAGAAACAACCCCTGGGTCCGGCGGCTCAGAGAACGGGACCTCAGGGCCAAACAGTTCCTCATGCTCCAACCCAAGCTCTCTAAGTACCAGTCCGCTGCCATGCTGCAGCGTAGTGTAGTAACCTCGCTGTTCAGAATGGCGCCAAAGCTCCTCGCAAGCTTCTACACCCAATTTCGCATGACAGATAGCTCCGCCAGTGGGACTAGCGTCCAACATGTAAATGGTCTCACCCACATTTGCACGCATGTCAGTTTGCAAAAGGGGGGCCAACACAAGCAGCAGCATGAGTTCATTAACAGCCATGGCGCTCAACTGGAAGGTGGAATCAGGTGGTAAAAGAATCCCTTCAGAAAAAATGCAATCCATGACAGCAAACATAGGTCGTCTGAAAAGACATGCATGAATCCAGCATCCTAACAGGCTCTGTAAAATGCGTCTGGTAACAACCTTCTTCTTGACAATCAGCATGGTTGTAAACATCAATAAAGCAATACGGCTGCGGGGTGCACAAATTTTGCCCTCGGTACCGTCAATCTCAGCACCAAGAACTGTAGCTGATGCCACCCTTCTTTGTTTTTTCCCAGGATGAGCCACTAACTTAACATCTTGGTAAGCACGTTCCGCTGCCGCAAAAACTTCAATGTCCCGCTGTGTGTCAATCAACTCACTGGTCGGCCATCGGGGCACCTTTTGTAAACCAATATGATCATCAATGGTAAGAAGTTCATAAAAAGGGCCTCGTGGTATGGTCTTGCGATACTGTAGTACCTCATGAGATAACATGCTCCCAGCTTTTTCCCGCAACAGGTTAAAATGACTTTGTTGTGCAATCTCAACCGCCAAAGAATCTCCCATTGCTAACGTAGCCAGACATATGTAAACAGAGGTATCAGCAAGTTCAGAAGAGTAGCAACTCAAATGGTTCAACTCCTTCCCCTTGAAAACCACTCCAATTGCATTGCGAGCTGCACGCTGCTCAGATACAACAAATGTATAGTAAAACTCGCAAAGGTCGTCAGAGGAAATAACCAGCTTCTCATCATCCCGTAAACGTATAGCCCCTGCCAAATGCCCTGGTGCCAGAGTCTTAGTAAATGAGTTACACCCAAAACACCGGGAATTAATAACAGTGGGATTAATAATAAGCCGATCATACTCCTCGTCCTTGCTGACTGCAAATAGCCCCACGCTTTCAGAGGGGTCAATCAAAGAAGTAGGGATCAATCTGCAAGCGCCCAAAGCATCCCATTTTGTAGCCAATCGGACAAGCTCCTGTCGAGAGCAATGCACTTTGGCCCGCCTCCGCACGGGCCAACTGGCTGCAGGCCGTCTCAGTACGTTGGGATCTTGGAAAGCTTTCTTGACAACTGGATCTGACAAAAAAGGAGTAGGATCAAAAGAAGGCCCCAACTTCCATTTTATACGATCCGCCAACACCGGCTTGGCTGGACTTATATCCAAAAAGACCTGCTGGCCAAGTGAGCTGCTCTCCTCGTCGGGACTGGGAGAGGAAGACGCAAAAGAGCTCTGCTGTGGAAAAGCTGCTGGAATCTCACTACGCTTTGGCTGCCCATACGGATCCAAGGTGTGCTGAATGTCACTTAAAAAACTGCCAACATCAACATCATCAAAAGACACAGTTGGAAGTTGAATTGCTGCACTACAAATTTTTGCTAACTTATCACCAGCCCGCCCAAGCTCGGCTCTACCAACATCGGGAGCAGCAAGGAAATGACTGACCAGGCCCTCTATCTGTTCCAACATGACAAATTGCTGAGGAGAAATAGGGGAGCCTAACCTAGCATGGCTTGGGGGACTTTTGCAGTGACCTAGAGACAACCAATTCAGGGCAACCACAATGGTTTGTAAAGCTTTCGCTCTTGCCTGAAGCCATCTCCGTCTGCGTCTCCGCGTTGGCGACAAATGAGCAGAGCCAGTCCATCGCCAGGCTGGTGGGGGACATGGCCAAAGATCAGCACTGCAGGCATCAATGCTGCACACACGGCGTGTCAGACTTCGTCGCAAAAACTCCGGAAAACCAGCATGACACTGAACAACCGAGGCTATGACGAAGTCTACAATTGCACTGCATCTAATTTCCTCAGGCAGCCGCTCACCAGTAATTGTCGGCGAGTCATCGTGGCAAGGCTTCAAACTGCTTGCCACTTCTGCCTTTGCACCCTCAGATCTGCCAACGCCAGCACCAGAATCTGAAAAAGACTCACTCAAAACTTCAATTCCAGTGCCAGAAGTCAGCCCGCCCCTCAGGCAGTGGTTTCTCCTGTGGGCTGGGCGGGCTCGCCCTTGCCCTTGCCTTTTGCTTTCTTCTTTGCATTGGGATTCCCCTTTGGCTCGCCGTCCTGGGGCTTCACATCTTTGAAGTCTTTTGTCTTGCCAGTTTGAAGAATCCTGCTCTCCATCACATCCATGTCCTTCAGATAGGAGACATTGGCTGCCACCCAGCTCGGGCTCGCCAAACGGGTCCATGGTTGCAGAGAAGTGCGCACTCGATTGCGCGCCACCACGGCATAGTTTGGCTCTGGAATGCCCAGAAGTAACCATGCTAGACCAGTCTTCCCTCCATCCAGGCTTGCCTGTTCCACAAACATCATCCCTTTTACTGCAAAACCTTGCAGCTCGCGATTGCCGCTGCGAGCTCCCGCTTCGAAGGCATGGCTCATGATATAGCCAAACTGAGTCAGCAGTCTGTGATCCCCTAATGGGATTCTGCGCTCCAGATAATCTTGAAGAAGACCGGGAGTCACCTGCGCAGTTTGCAACCCAAGATCCAGCGCTGCGTTCTGCTCTCCCACCGAAGCCAGCTTCACCAGATCTGCCGAAATCTTCACATAGGCCTCTCGAGCTAAACAGCCCTTTATACTGGTCCCTCCGCCACCCGAACTTCCCCCGTCGCTTCCGCTCAGAAGGGACTGGATGGGGTCGCTGCTCTGCTTGGCTTGCAACTGCTTTGTCAACAGTTGTACTTGCCGCATCTGCAGAGCTAGCAGTTTGTGGACCGGGTCCGTGGACGCCGCCATGGCCTCTTCGAGCGCCTGCTCCATATCGTCGTCCTCGACAACCTCGAGCTGCTCCTCTTGAAGAGCTCCGACTTGAGGTAGGGCATGTGACGAGGCCAGGGCCCGCTCGTGAGCAGCAGTCTTGGGAGGCCCCGTTCCAGCAAGCGCGCGCATACGATCCAAAACGGTGGGAGCAGCCGCTGAAGCCCTCGGAGCTCCGGACAGCAAACCTCCGCCAAGAGTCCCAGGTGTAGGATGTCGAGGAGGATGGGCCGCGGCGGCAGCCAACTGAGCTTCCAACTCCAAAACACGATTCTGCAGCTGATCCACCACGCCGGCATCCACAGCACCGTTTGGCAAAGGCTCCCCATCGATCGCGGGGTCTGCAAACTCGTCTCCAGTGAAATACTCGGCGGCCGTCTCTTCGGCCATGGCTTCGGCGATCCAAGCATCTGCAGCTGCGATCACGCTGTCCAGCATGGGGGCAGCCCCTGACGCACCAAGCTTGAACTTCACCAAGGTCCTTGCAGCCTCGCCTCGCAAAGCAGTCACCTTGGAGAAGTCCTCCAAAGCATCCCAGGCTGAGTCTACCAAAACGGCCTCGACCTCGGCAGTGTTGCGGCCTCGATTGGCCCCAATGGTGATCATGCACACTTGCTGAGCATACCGCAGAGGCGCCGCATCCAAAGCAGCCTGCACCTGCTCTTCGGCAGGCAAGCAAACCATGAAGCCGCCTGGACGACATCTGATCACAAAGGCCAGCGCAGTAATCGGAGCAGCACCCTCCGCAGCAGGAGGAGCAAAGAAAATTGAGGCTAATTTTCCAGGGTCTGTCGCCTCAAGCAGAGCCCTGATAGCTTCCTCACTCAGGTTTCCCCTTCGTACCGGGGCGGCCATGCCTCACCGGCCCCAATGAGATACGCCTCAACTTCAGCACGCGATGGGAAAGCGTGACTGACACTGTCTGGATGAAAACGATCCAAGCCCGCTCCACGCACTCGCAATCGGTAAGCTCGATAAGAGCAAGTCCAACCAGCCGAGTGAGAAGGAGCAGCCCGCAGCACCACGTAGTAGTTGTTGCCAAGGCCAACCGAAGGAGATGGCACTACAGCACCCACTTCCAGGTCCAGACGCTGGCGAGCAGAAACACCTGCCCGCAGAGCCCTAGTCACTCGAGCACGTGGAGTCCACTCAGATGATGCTGACCGCAAAGCCGCAGCCAAATGATCCACTGGGGAAAAATCCACTTCACAAAGTGCAGCAGGTGTAGAGGCTTGCAGCAGCTGAACTCTCCAAGCAGACGTCCAAGGTTCAGGTGGACTCGTTCCTAACACTGCAGTAGTACTAGCAGATGACCTAGGAAGTGAGCTGACGACCTGAGGCCTCAAGGGCCCTGCAAGGGGTACACGTTGAGGAGAATTCCCGGCACTGACCGAACTTGCGGGGGCTACAGAAACAGGAGGTGAACTGGTGGTGGATCTAACAGAGATAGTCAAATTCCCCAACTGAAACACAATTTCTTCAACCCCTGTCTGAGTCTCCTCTTCGCTCATTCACCAGTGCGATACCCACTCAATCGCCTCTGCAAATCACGAGAGGGCACCACTTGCTGAATCGGGTTGAGGAGAGTGATCGCACCTTGCAGCACCAACACGACTAAGCGCCTGCAGCTAGGAGACAGGCACAGAACCGCAGCAGCCACCCCAGTTATCAAGCCTGCAACCCAGCACAGGATGCAGCTCAAGAGCAAAAGAGGAAAGCTTATGGCACAGTCCCCACCGCTAGTAAACCACCTAAGTTCAGAGAGGACCTCAGGCAACCAAGCCCGCATGGGCACTTGACCCGAAAGATGCTTGAGGACAAAGACGCTTCCATGCACATGTGATAGTTCCATATTGTATACATATGTATATACTTGTATATATATGTATATATATATAATTGTATATATGTTTTTATATAAGCTTGATGTTATGCTGTTTGTAGCTGTGAATGCCAGTCGGGGTCCTCCTACCTGTATTCCCTCCCCGCACCTGCATGATGAAAACCATACTGAAATATGTTTCGAAAAAGAGCTGCGTTCGAAACTTGCTCAGCTCTGTTTCACTCAGTAATTTTGAACCGCACAGTGCCATGGCCATGGTACGGGCAAAGAGGAACAGCAAGCGCAAGACGCTGTAGAAAACGTAGCAAAGAGCGATGGAACACAGGGGTCGCTCACCATACCTGGGCCAGGGCTTCGGTGCTTGATGGGGTGAAGCCAAAGCCAATTGTAAACCATCCCCAATATGGCCATAAATGCTTAGAAAAACCATTCCCAAATGGTACGAGTAGGTTCCTTTTCGGGATTCCAAAGTCGTATACCTGATGTCCATCTTGTCGAATAATGTCTTATGATCAAATGATGATACTAGCACTTTGTTTGACTTGAGGGCAGTGTCTCCTGCACGATCACTGTGCTGCCATGACACCCTGGTAGAGTGCCATCTGGTGAGTCAACGGCAGCACTCCTTGGGTCAGCAGGTCATGCATCTATCACTCATCCAGATTCAAAAAAACAAGAACCAAGTCCCCTGATTCCGTTTGGCAACTTGACACCAAAAAGAAAGAGTTGGATCACAAGAGTGTATCATCCTTTCAAGGATTCCCTTGAGGCAACCAAGGTCGCCGTTGAAAAGGCTCTAGTCCTCACCGTGATCCTTGCATATCTTCAAAGGGATCAGTATAATCAAACAGTACTTATTCGAAGCCGAGCCTCACTATGCGGACACTCATCACGGCTAGAAGCACCACCAGAAACATCCAGACCAAGCCTAATGCTTGAGAGAAGATGTACAGCGAGCCGAAGGAAAAGCCTCAGTCCCAACAAGTTGCTCCGCTTGAAAAAGGCCATGCGTGTTTGAATCACTAAGGCCAACTCCTTCGGAACAGAAAGGACAAGCGGAGGCATCCGCAATGTCATGATCCCTAAGAATCTGGCTGCAGCTGAGAGACAGGTGTCTGCATGGGGCACTGTGCGAAGGAAAATGCCAGGGGCTGCGTGAGCGCACGCCCAAACGAAGTTGCCCTGGTCAATCGGTTTAACATGGTTTAACAGTTAGCTCGAAAATGGGGGGACGGGGTCCCCCAAAAGCTCATGCCTTTTCCTCCCACTAAAAATGGCCATAACTTGATGCTACCCTCACCATTCTTGGACAAACACTAATATTCTATAGGGTATATATATATATATTATATAGATATATATCTGGTTGATGATATACCCACTATGTAATCTATGTATCACTATATCAATTTACATTCACCATAAAATATCCCAAGTCTTGGTGGGTTCATCCCCAACCATCCCAACGTGGCCTGCCATCGCAAGAGCCTTCGCTCCACGCCACACAGTGCGGCCACCAGCTTCGGCATGGCGTCAGCAGCGGTCCATGGTGGGCGCTGATGGCACTGGTGGTTGGAATGGTGCTTTGGGGTGGGGATGTCCCAGCTCTGGGTTTATCTTGGTTTATCTTGGTTTATCTTGGTTTATCTTGGTTTATCTTGGTTTATCTTGGTTTCTAGGCACCAGATCATCAAGCATCACTAGTTTCGGATGTTTCTTCACTTGGATAAGCTTGGAGTTGCGATGGAAGTGATCTGAGGACATTCCTTTGTAATAGTTGCAGTGTGTGCAACTCGTGACTTTATTGATCCAAGCCGACATTTGGGTGGAATTTGGTCTCCCAACTGGAGAGAAGCCACGTCACCATAGGCCCTCAGATTACTCGGCCATGTTTTTACAGACCATGTTGCTGCAGTCAGCCCTGAGTCGGGCGCAAGCTGATGGGCCACGATTCGTCACCAATCCGATGTGTGGGCAGACATTTGAAAACTGCCATGACAGCAGAGAACCCCAAGACTAAACTGACTAAACATAAAAGAAAATAGTATGTTCAGCAACTTTGGTCTCTTGATCTTGATATATCCTGATATACAACTATGTTCGGCTGGCCAACCCATCCGCTGGCCAGGGTGGCACCAGTGAGGTGGTGGATATGGATAGCCCACAGGTCGATAAGGCCTCGGTGGAAATAGTGGGAAATAGTGATTTAAGATGATTCAAGTGATTTATGTGTAGTGGAAATGGATGAAAATGGATGGAAATTGATGGCTGTCTCACCAACATTGGCTTTGTCTGACAGTAGGCTACCTTAAAGATCCCAAAACCCCACGAAAACGTGAGAAAGTCATATATTTCCGGATATTTCTCAATGAGAATGGCGGCCATTGGGGGAGGCATCCACCACATCGACACATCACTGGATGGTCACTGAGCATGCCACGGTGCATGCCACCCTGGCGGCGGGGGCCAATGCCTCGGAAGCAGAGGCAGAAGAATCCATTCATGTCCACAAGACGAAGAAACCTGAGATCCTCAGTGAAAAACCGCCATGAGTGAAAATTGTTGGATTTCAGCAATCAAAAATCATTATATATATAATTATTATTATTATTGTTATTTTTATTTTTATTATTATTGTTATTATTATTTTTATTATTATTATTGTTATTATTATTTTTATTATTATTATTGTTATTATTATTATGTTTTTTATTATTATTATTGTTATTATTATTATGTTATTATTATGATTATTATTATTAATTATTGTTATTATTATTATTTATTAGTATTTACTATTATTATTATTGTTATTATTATTATGATTATTATGATTATTATTATTAATTATTGTTATTATTATTATTTATTAGTATTTACTATTATTATTATTGTTATTATTATTATTATTTATATATATATACATATACATATATATATATTTTATATATAATTATATATAATCATATTGTGTGTATATAATTGTTTATATATATATATTACGTAAAAATTAGAAACATCAAAAAGTCGCGAAACGATTCACCAAGGACCACGCGGCTGGGGCCAAGGTCTTGGGTGACCTGCGGGACATGGCAGTAGTAAAGTCCAATCGGCTTGCAGGACGACAGGATAAAGCGTGTCAACCTTCAAGAATTTGACTCTCCAAAGATCTTCGAAGCATTTCTGAACCTGGGAGGGATGGTTTGTTTTGGACCTGGGAGGAATGTTTGATGGCTCTAGCCCACAGGTTCAACAGTTTCATCAACAGCCGAGAATGCACCTGGCATGCCCGGCATGCCGGGGCCCACAGCACGGGGAGCTTGGCGGCCTGTTCGAGACACTCCTATCCTAATATGGAGTCTTCATCTGCCGCCGTAAAGAAAAAACTGCCATACAACAGCGACATGTATCATGAACTATGGTGAAATCGCCAAAGATCGAGGAAACCTAGCTCAGGCATATTGTATTCAAGACAAACATCGCTCGGAGGTGTGCCCAACCCTCCATCTCAACAACAAAGACCGGTTTTTTGCACAGCTTGTTGGTTCATCCTCACACGTCGTTGCTCATTGATCTCGCTCTTGTATCTCTCATTACTGGTGAAACACCTTCTTGACATAAATCACTGTCATCCTTGCTGGTGTAATCCAATCATAGGGTGTATTACACCCAGAATTGTGGCCTTCTTTGTAGATTTATTGCTGAAGGAGTGCCACACGACTTATATAGCCATGGATCAACCGTGGTACCCGAATGTTCACATAGAAATAACTCCTATAGGACTCCTATATTGATGTCCATCCCACCATTCGTATGGAAAATCACAGGTTCTCCAAGCAGAAACCCAAGAATTTGATAGAATTTGAGTAGTTTGCATAAGTGGAAAGTAAATAAATTGACACTTGAAATGGGAAAACGTCTTGCCGGAGATCGCGTTTTCTTGGGCTTCCCCTGGTGGCACATGTCGCACGAATCCATTTTGGCGGCTGCAACTGAACAAGTTGACGGTTGACCAATTAGCCGCTGTGCATCTGCATGGGTTCCTCGTGGGGTCAATGATTTATCCAACATTGCTCTCTGATCTCTGCCCGCACAAATGCATACGTACAAATGCATCGAAGTATATCTATCATTGGCACCTCAATTTTTTTTGACCACCCAAATATTGGTGATGCACCCATGTTCATCGTCTTCACTTGGTGAAACATCGGTCATTTTCTGGTTTCCTTCTGTCCTGTGGGTGTAGATTCCATGACATGGTCAAAACATCACCAGCTCAAACTATGGGGTGTATATAACTTGTCAAATACTTGAGTCTCACCAACTGATTTTTTTGTGTACCAAGTGTTTTTTAATGGTTGGTTATTCACAACTTCATGAACAAAATATAGGTACGTAGTGTTATATATATATATTCCTTGGCTTTGGACCGATATGTAAAAAATTGTTTATCCCGGCTGTCATGCTGATGTAATCGGACGATATGACATTGGTGGCTCAACGATTTCTGGGTTTGGGCAGCTGCCCCCACGGAGAAATTGCATTGCAAAAAGTTTCCCCCTGCATTTCACAGCGACCTTAGGAAGGTATCACTTTGGGAAAATAAACTCCCGAGCCTTAGAAACGGCTGGAGTGCACCCACGGCTCTTGCGTGAGGCTCTCAACCAAGACTTGGACATATCTCTGGACGTCCATCTATGCGGAATTTTTTAGACATAGTTGCAACATGTTGTTGCAACAGCCAACGAATTAGTCCTGTTGCTCACAAGGTATGATCAGTTCCGATGCTGGGTCGATGGTTTCGGCTGCTTCGGAGTCTGGGAGATGATGGAGATGGCAGTTTCGGAGATCTTCTTTGCAACACATTCTGACGCGTTTCCAACTCAAAGTGCTCTCGGGACCCCTCTCTACCGGAGGCCTAGATTTTTGGTCAACGTGGCCATTTGCAACTGGGAGGGGCGCAAGTACCAATGCATGAAATGCTTGTTGCACCACTCGTCCAATCCATCTGACCATGACACCTTTCACATGCTTGTCGACTTCCTCAAATCCTGAAGGATGCTGCAAAATGTTGAAGAATAAAAGGCCCTGAAGAAAAAACACGGAAAAAACAACAATTCCCTGTGGGCCCTTGGCCTTAACTAAGGAATTTGCCCGAAATCTGCCACGGCAAGAAAACTTGAACGAACGCAAATTGGATTTGAATGGGTGAATTTGTATGAATTTGCCGGAACACATGGGACAACCCACCGGTTATCCAATGTTATCCAGGAAACCCACCGTTCGACGGATGGCATCTTTCACCATTCGCTCATCTTCAGGTTTCCAAGCCTCAGCACGGGCGGAATCGACCTGGCTCACGGCCTGAGTGATGAAGCTGATCCCCGCAGAGCCCTTTGACACTTCCAGTAGCAACGACGCGCTTGAGGCTTCCGGCATCAGAAAAGTCACGGGGATGTCTGAAGAGTAGGCGATGAACTGCTCATAGATGGTCCACACTCGTTTCAGATAGATGGGGGTCTGAAAGGTATCCAGAATTGCAACCATGTGACCAATGCGCGAGAGGTTCTTCTTGAACACAACTTCAGATCACTAGTGGCACCAATACTGCCTTCAATAAGAATGCGAAACTGGTTGTTGCAAAAAAAACACATGAAGAAGAATGTAGCGGCGTGGACACCTTCATATGTTCTCAGAGCACTTTGAAGTTGAGACAGGCTGTATTTCCATGTCCAACTCATAAAATGTGTCTGCTTGCGACAATGAACGTGGGGAATCCAGTCCACCATCGCGCAGCCTGCGCGCAAGTCACGGGGACATAGTACTCCTTGGCCGATTGGACTCTCACCAAGCCAGAATTGCTTCATGTCCTTGGATCTGCTGCAGATTAAGTGACCTGGAAACAAACAAACTTCCGTAAACATTCTTGTTTTTGGTGGAAAATATAAAACTTCCCCATTTTGGGCGGATTGTGGGTGGATTGAATTGGATTAACTAATGGGAAAACATTTGAAAAAATGCCCTAAAGAAAAAAACCCGGTGTCGTTGAAGGTTGGGTCTTCTGATCCCGTGCGCCTTCGGGCCAGGCTCGCAAACTCCTCGGAAAGCAAATACCGCAGGCCCACTCCAGCCTTGGCTTTAAGTGACTGTTCAGTGCCCTGGACCAAAAAACATCTGAACCTAAACGGATATGCGCGGTGGATGGACCAATGGAAAACCAGCATTGAGTAGGAATTAAGAAAGAACATAGTAACATGGGTGGAAAACAAATGCATTGACCAATAAATGTCAAGGGGAAAATAAGAATCATATAGAATCACCAGCAAATCCAGGCTGCTTCGTGGCTGTGCTTTGCAAGCAGCCGCTTGGCTTGGTCAGAGGCATCTCTCTGGGAGAAGCCTGCGCCTGTACCAAGCAATCTCTGCGTGAGAATCTCCGTTCTTTGCCCTGGGTCGTGAGGGCCAAAGAAATCTGCTTCCCGCATCGCCTCAGCCACATCTTGGACTGCAGCTTCTTGTGCAAGTTTCCTTGCAGCATTCTCTGCCTCCTCAGCAGCTTTCTCTTTCTCATCTTCTTCCATGCAGTGTTTCAAACAAGAGCAGAAAGAAGAGCAGACACAATAGATAATGTACACAATGCTCATGATAACAACCACGACCGAAACTTGTTCATCGGTCGAATACAGTCTTCTGTGTTCGGCTCCCGAGTCTTGCGTCGTCTGACCGCGTAGAACCTCTCCCGAGCTTCCGAGGCATACTGAGGCAAGCAGCACTCCGAGCACCTGGAGCATGCTGCACATGGCACCTGCAGTTTACGGTGTGGACGGCGTGGGGTCGCCCAAAGAACGAGATTCAACGAAATCATGCAAAATCACCAAGTATCTCTGCAGTATCGCTGCTATTGCTGCATTTTTGGTGTGCCTTACTGTGCAGAACATCCTGAAGGAGATATGTCTTATTGATTCTTCTTGATTGTTCCCATCACAAATCAACTAACAGGGCCTCCGTGGCTACGAAGCAATGAGGTTCCGAGCATCTCAAATAAACTCAGGTGCTATCCCCAACAGTTTGAAAGTTTCTGCGTTTTTGCCATAAAAAGTGCTTATACCATAAAAATTAAGCGCTTATGCCATTTAAAAAAAAAGTGTTTATGCCACAAAAAACATCGGAACCCTGTGGAATTTCACAGAGCATCTGCACCAGAACCCTTCGGAACCTCAAACCCAAATCCTACCGATACCAACCGTGGTGCTGGCATATTTACACATTTACCCCAAAGATTAGACCCAAAAGTAGGCAGTCTGAAAATGGGGTACCAACAATCCAGTGGTTTACCAACATGGTAACGGCGTTGATAAGAGGCCGTGCAGTGGTGTAAGATCGACATTCCATCATAAGTGTTCAATTTCAATTTCGTTAGTGTTTTTCAACATTTTCATCATATCATGGTGTTTTCAATGAGCTTAAAACCACGTAGTGTTCACCGAAAATATTGATTTTTGAGCGTTTTACGTCATAAAATGGCATTTTTTTAATGACAACCCTTGTTTCCGAAACTTTGTGTGGTATGAATATTGACGTAAGAGAAACCTAGCAGTAGCGTCGCATGACGCATGTGTGGAAGTGCAA